CATTAGAGAATCTCAGTTTTCAGACTGGTTTTATAAATCCCTCCCCCTTTTTATATCTAGACTTTTGCAAGACATTCTTTCATTTCTGAAAATAGCCTTTCCAGTCCCTTTTTCCTCAGCAGCCATGTAGAGCCTCTCTGGACCACTTTTGACCAAGTTTCTCTCCTAGTCTCATTTGAAATTTCTTCCGATGCACTGAGCCTCCCAGAACTCGAGATTTTTTCCATCCGCCTTTGTATGCTGGGCATCTGTCAGTGCATATCACATGGCTTGTGTGATTCATCAGACACCCATGTGCTCCATTCTGTAATTGTTATCTTCTAAGCACCATTATAAAGCTAAAAACAAGGACTGTTCCCTGGTCTTCTGGACTCTGCCTCCCATCACCTAGAGAAAGACACTGGCGCCAAAGCACCATGGTGTAACTGCTCACCTTTTCCATACTGATAACAATAAACCCTTCGGCATCGATGCAAGTCATGAAATTTCCACCTGAGAGATTACAGAGATAGTGTGTCAAGGGAATAGATAAATGATACTCTGGAGACCAAACGAAGCAGCAGAGTGGGAGTTCCTGAGCTGTTTGTTAAAGACTTACACACATGACTCTTCTAGGCCTGCTTGAAGAATTACCCCTTAGCGGATATCCATTTAACCTGAATGCCATAACAAAGTCCTGGAAGGTGCCCTCAGCAGCAGGTAGCCTTGGGTATAGTAAAACATTTTATACTTTTCTAGGATAATACCGGAAATGTACAATCATTAATTTCGATCATCACATGCCATTCTAGGCTCTTGATGTCACTGATTTTCAAACAACCAAAGGAAAACGTTTTAGTCGTTAATATTTTGTGGCAGAAATGTTCTCTTCAATTGGGTTGACAGGATCAAATGGAAATTAGGAAAAGCCTTAGAGGTCTCCTAGGCACGAATTTTTTCTTTCTTGCTAAATTTCTGACAACCCATAAAATTGGAATCATTGTCCTCTTAAAAGTGTCTGCTCTTTCTTTCCCAGGGGAAGAGGAAGAGGGCTATCTAATCAGTGTAGTGATCATCATTAGTCTATCAAAATCTTGTCCTTAGATCTTAGCCACAAAAATTTCAAAACTAAGTTCCGTTTAGATTTGGGAATATGGAAACATTATTTCTATGGAATCAGTATAATTCTTCCTGTATTATCAAAGGAAGAGTCTCATAGCTTTTCCAATATTTTAGAGACCCTGACCTAGGGTCTAGGGAAGTTGATATTTTAGCTATAAGAGCATACCAGTAATGTGCTCCTCAAATATTAACACAATGTGCAGCTTTACTTTTCTAGAGTTACTGGCTCTCTTGGCACTGGGAAGAGCGTCAACTCCTCTTACAGAATGTGTGTACTGAGCCTAGATGAGGAAGGTACCACTGCATCTAGGCTTCAGCAAACAGAAGAGACCCCAGAATTGAGTGAACATTCTGCCATTGCTAAAACTATAAATGAATCGGTAACTTGAAAAATCATAAAAACGAAACCCTTCTGTTGCTAACTTATAAATCTTATTTCTAGAGAAACTCTCCAAGTTTATAATTTCACGTTCATAGCAAATTACATGCCTCAAAGTACTTTGCCCTTTTTCTTGGCATTGGAGGCAGACTTTTGCCCACCCCAGAAAGAAACTGTTGGATATCAAGAGTGTGGAAAGAAAAGGCAAAAAAAAAAAAAGCATTATGAGTAACAGCAGGAAAGAGGAGGGATTATTTTTCAAATATTTAAATATAGGTCACAGTCTGCAGCAGCGCTCACTAAAATGTTAATTCAACTTGACAAACATTTACAAACACTAAATGTTTGTTGAATTGAATTGAAATGTTAACATTTATCCTCCTGTGATATTTCTCCACAAAAATTAGAAAGCATTCTTAGACTGTAAACTGAATTCCACCCTGAGATGTTAACTTTATAATAGTCATAAAATATTTATATCTAACCTTATTTCAAGACACCTCCCATTGAATTATTTCAAAGCTTAGACAAAATAATGCAGAGATTCTACCCCATTTAAATAGTGCAAGAAAACCCACAAAAAGGGAACAACTTCCTGGACTTCTAATTTAGTGGGCAGCTATAAATATTTATGGTAGACCCTAGAGTGTCTTTTCACCACTGGGTTATCTCCCCACTTCTAACAGAAGCACTTTAACCCACCTCTGACAAAGGTACCTTCCTCGTCTAGGCTCAGTACACATTCTGTAAAAGCAGTTGACGCTCTTCCCACTGCCAAGAGAGTCAGTGAATCATCACAACTACTGAGGGCATCACATTACCCTGGCAACCATGACTGATTCAGAGATGAATACTGACCTCACTCTCAAATAATGAAACTTTCCTCAGATTGTTGAGAGAGGAGTGCTGTATCTTTTTGACCTTAAACTTGAGATCAGAAGAACATAGATTTGCACTCTTGCAGCCGCCACCTTCCGTAAGAATAAACCCAATCTGAAGGAAAGAACTGAAAGATGCAAAGAGACTGAGGACTGATATTGTTTAAGCCCCTAGACCAAGCCTTCCAAAAGCCATCACTGCGTTATTCTTTAAAGCCTTAAGTTACCTTTGCTTATAATACCTTGAGTTAATGTTTCCGTCACTTACTACCAAGAGTCCTTATGTAATCAGATTTTCAAATTACTTTATTACCATAATCGCCAGAATTACTGACTTCTACAAGTCTTCTGAAAATGCCTAAAGCCATATCCAAGAATTTTGCCACGTAACTTTGCAATTCTTCCTGCAAAAAGGGAAGAGGGTACTTCCCACCTCTTCTACATTGGGCTTCGCCCTATGAATTTTCTTTGACCAAGGAAGTGGAGTGCCATCAGCCACAGAGATGATGCAATCAGGCGTTTAAAGTGGGCTTACATAATTGGCTTCCCTTCTTGGCCTTCTGTCATGGCTATCAGAATAATATGTGCTGGCTCATCTGCTGATTCATGGAATATGAAAGATACGTGGAGAGTAGACCTGAACACCCAGCCACTACGGTATCTAAAGCCCCGTTAGCCAACATGCAGACCTCTGGGAAAACACTTGTTTTAAGACATTAGTTTTCGGACAAGTCTGAATTCCAACAGGGCAGTCAAGTTCTAAGGCTCCAAAATGATCTCCTTTGACTCCATGTGTCACATTCAGGTCATGCTAATGCAAGAGGTAGGTTCCCGTAGTGGAACAGCTCCACCCTGTGGCTTTGCAGGGTACAGGCCCGCCCTCCCAGCTGCTTTCATTGGCTGTTGCTGAGTGTCTGCAGCTTTTCCAGGAGCACGGTGTAAGCTGTTGGTGGATTTCCCATTCTGGGGTCTGGAAGACGGTGACCCTCTTCTCACAGTTCCACTAGGCAGTACCCAAGTTAGGTATTTTGTGTGGGGGATCCAACCCCACATTCTTCTGCACTGCCCTAGCAGAGGTTCTCCATGAAGTCCCTGCCCCTGCAGTAATCTCTTGTCTGGGCATCTGGGTATTTCCATACATCTAAAATCTAGGTGGAGGTTCCCAAACCTCAATTCTTGACTTCCGTGCTCCTACAGGCTCAACATCACATGGAAGCTGCCAAGGTTTTGGGTTTGCACCCACTGAAACCATGGGCTGAGCTGTACCATGCCCCCTTTTAGCAATGGCTGGAGCAGCTGAGACACAGGGCACCGAGTTGGTAGGGTGCTCACCGCATGGGACCCTGGGCTCAGCCCATGAGATCATTTTTCCTCCTAGGCTTCTGGCCTGTGTTGGGAGGGGCTGCCGTGAAGACCTGTGACATATTTTCCCCCATGGTCTTGAGGATTATTCAGCTCCTTGTTACTTGTGCAAATTTCTGCAGCCTGCTTGAATTTCTTAAAAACTGGGTTTTTCCTTTCAACTGCATCATCAGGCTGCAAACTTTCTGAACTTTGATGCTGTTTCCCTTTTAAAATAATGCTTCTAATATCACCCAAGTCATCTTCTGACTGCTTTACTGCTTAATTTCTTCCTCCAGACCTAAATCTCTCAAGTTCAAAGTTCCACAAATCTCTAGGATAGGGGCAGAATGCCAGCAGCCTCTTTGCTAAAACACTCCACTTTGTTCCAGTTTCCAGCAAGTTCCTCATCTCCATCAGAGACCACCTCGGCCTGGACCTGATTGTTCATACTTCTGTCAGCTTTTTTGGCAAAGCCACTCAAGTCTCTAGGTGGTTCCAAACTTTGCCACCTTTTCCTGTCGTCTTCTGAGCCCTCTAAATGTGCCAACCTCTGCCTGTTAAGCTTTATTCAGCAGCACCCCATCTTACCAGTACTAATTGACTGTATTAGTCCATTTCCATGCTGCTGATAAAGATATATATCCGAGACTGGGAAGAAAGGTTTTAATTGGACTTACAGGTCCACATGGCTGGGGAGGCCTCAGGATCATGGCGAGAGGTGAAAGACAGACACTTCTTGTATGGCAGTGGCAAGAGAAAATGAGGAAGATGCAAAAGCGGAAACTCCTGATAAAACCATCGGATTTTGTGAGACTTACTATCACAGAGCAGCATGGCAGAAACCGCCCCCAGAATTCAAACTACCTCTCACCAGGTCCCTCCCACAACACACAGGAATTATGGAAGTATGATTTAAGATGAGATTTGGGTGGGGACACAGAGCCAAATATGATACCACCTTCTCTTCATTAGGTCTCAGTTGAAAGTCATTTCCTGCAAGGAGCCTCTGCTAGTGCCCCTCAGGAACACACTAGAGAGCCCTCCGAGTGGTCATGGAGACTCTACCTCACCTTGCCAAAAAGGAGGGTCATTTTTATCTGACTGGGATCTTGGAGGGAGGTGGTAGGATTACTGTTTACGATTCCTAACACATAGTAGGTACTGAGAAAATGTGCATTCTTTTTATCTCACCTAATACACTTTGAATAAAAGAAGATGCACTTTGCAACACATCCCAAGTGTTACTTTCCTTATTCTTCCTATTACAGACACAAACGCACAGACAGAGGGGCTAGTACCTAGATAAAGCCAGAGCACGATTAACTCTTTCTTCAAGGCCTAATGTACCCAGGGCCTTCCAGGTCATCCAGAACTTGAATGCATCTGGTCTTCTGCTGCATTGGATAGACTTGTCTCCTGTGTCATAGCTGACATCGTAGAATTTATCCTGCTGGAAGAGGTAAGATGCCTTGGCAGAGTAGCATTCTTTAAGAAGATCCTTTGAAAAAGAAGAAAAAGATTACAAGACTGTTCCACTTCAGAAAACACTTGGTTTTAAAAGCAAACACACATGCACACCATGAATATATTCTGCCTATGCTAAAGGTACGTCTCACTGTCTTACATCAGACACAGGGTACACTGACATACACAGTACCCACAGTGTTATCAAAAGCTCAGAGTTGACAATGCTAAAATCCATCTTTCACAATTTTACTGAGTATTGAGAAGCTGAGAGGACCATGTCATCACTGAGATCTAGGTGGGCCAGCTTTTCGGTATGAATAAAACCATATAACTCAAATCTTTCCATTGGCAAAAAAAAAAAAAAAAAAAATCTGACATGTTACACAATTTCCTAAGCAAAATAATTTTTTCATATCCATTTTCATATCCCTCTTTCTCATATCCATTTGAAAGGCTAGATCTGACATAACCCAGGGATAAAAACCCAGGGAAAGAGCTCTGGAAGAGGTAAACAAGACCCAACAAGTTTACACTGCCTCAAAACATCAGCTGTAATCCCACCAGGCCTTTTGTGTTTGTCTCCTGTTGGTTTCATTTGCAACAAAATTCCATTTGCATTTACTGACTTGTTAAGTAGGTGATAATTTACATTCATCACATTATAGGACCTTTGCTTTGACCTCAAATCATCAAAGTTGAAGCCATGTTGTCTTCAATGTCACCTAGTGTCTACAAAAGCCAAGATTGCCCAATGGATCATTCACAGCCCTGACGACTCCCGAAGCATCTTCATATCCAGAAAACATTAGCTCCTTGTGCTCTTCAGTGGACCCGATGTACTCAATTTCCCTGAACCACTACATCATGTCTCATCTATGTCTTGTCTTAGACTGTTTGCTTGAATCTATTTTAGGATACTTGACACTTTCCCAAGAATATATGCCGTCTATAAGCTGTGAAGATTACTGACACTAAACATAATCTGCCTTGTTTCCTAGGTCTGCCCTTCCAACAGGTCCCATCCTAACTTTCTTCCCTTTTACCTTCCTCTGCCCATCTCATTGGGCTCAAAAGAATAACTTGGGTATTTGGCTGCTTTCTTGGCCTTGCTCCTGTGCTTTCCCCATGCGATGAGCAGACACTACATATATTCTTCTTGTGTGGTTAAACAGGTTCTTGGGAGCAGGGATCATTCCCTATCCATCGCCATATCCATGTAGCTTAACACTGTGCTGGGCACAGAGCACTCTCACTAAGTATCAAGACAATGACTCCACTCCCAGTGCCCTGACATGTGGAATGAATCGAATAAACACAGACAGATGAGCTTCTCATTTGGTGCATTTTCGAAACTTTAACAATGCAAAACTAGTGCTGTACAGGAAGCCACAAGAAAGTTTCCCAGTAGACACAGGGGTCCTAGAAAATGTTCCCTTCTAATCAAAGTGGATTAAATGTGCTTCATTTGACTCAATAGCTTGTGCTAGTTAGTTGAATGAAAAGGAAATCGCCAGGTATCACATATCAAATGAAAGCATAAGTTTGCTGTCTCAATTTAAGCAACATTGTCTTGTGTAGATACTAGTCGGGATCTAAATATGTTCCATTACGAAAAAGTATGATTTTATACTACATAAAAATTGTATACCAAATATAACCAAGAATTGCTACATCCCCTCATCCAGTATCCACAGTAAACTGAGTATGAACCAATGACCAGGCTGGGCACTGTGGCTCACACCTGTAATCCCAACGCTTTGTGGGGCCGAGGCAAGAGGATCACTTGAGGCCAGCAGTTTGATACGAGCCTGGTAGACAGTGAGACCCATTTCTACAAACAGTAGCTTGGGCATGGTGGTATATGGCTGGGGTTCCAGATACTTGGAAGCTGAAGTGGGAAGATCAGTTGAGGCTGAGGTTGAGGCTGCAGTGGGCTGTGAGCACATCACCACTTGCCAGCCTGCACAACAGAGTGAGACCCTGTCTCTAGAATAATAGCAAAAGGAGTACTAGTTTGCCTTCAGCCTGGTTACAATGGGTATTTTTTTTTTTTGGGGGGGAGGGGAGATGGAGTCTTGTTCCGTAGCAGGTTGGAGTGCAGTGGCGCAATCTCGGCTCACTGTGACCTCTCTTCTGGGTTGAAGCGATTTCCCTGCCTCAGCCTCCCGAGTAGCTGGGACTACAGGTGCGCACCACCACACTGGGCTAATTTTTTGTATTTTAGTAGAGATGGGGAACTCCTGACCTCGTGATCCACCTGCATCAGCCTCCCAAAGTGCTGGGATTACAGACATGAGCCACTGTGCCCAGCCCCAATGGATATTCTTGATAGATACAGGGAAAGAGCAGATTGTTCTGACCTGAACATAAAGTAGAAAAATCCCTTACTTTTAAGTCTTAGATTTTATTAATATCTCTACACTGGTCACAGCTGCCACTGTTGCATCTCCCTGCCCTCAAAAGTCAGGAAATTTGGTGGTTCCCATGGCAACTACAGTCTGACCATATATTATAACACTAAAAGGCCACTGTTGGTACTTCAAGAACAAATCATGCACACACATTCACAACACAGGTGCGAGCACACACACTTGCCTTACGATTATAAATTTACTGTCACCAACCATGAAAGATTAAAAAACTCCAAAGAAAATGAACTTTGGCCGTTTCTTGAGCAAGTTTTAGGGGCCCTATGGTAGTGATTGAAAGGGAGAGGAGGCTCATCCACTATCGGAAGACAAATTGTATCATCATAAGTAGAGAACCAGAGAGCCCAGAAAGCAAAGAGCAGAATGAACAGTTGGCCTGCAGTAGTGGCATAAATTTATTGCACTAAATTCTCCCACCTTGGGAAGGTTTCCTAAAGAACAGCTGGAAGCTTGGGATTTACTTTATCAAAAGCTTTGGGAGAAAAGTTTTCACTTTGCATTTTAGTTTATGTCCTTGTATTAAAATGGTGAGGTGTCTTTTAGTTTTAAGACAACTAAGAAGATGCTCAGATCTCCAGAGAATACACTTAAAAATATGGTAAAACTTCATGGAAAAAAATTGTTATGCAATCAAAGAGAAGCACCATATTTATCTTGCTCATCTTCATAATCTTAATCCTAGCAGGACAACAAATATTTGTGTGGCTTTCAGAGACAAAGATCCAGTGGAAATAGAAGTTGCTTTATATTAACTCAAATTGTTCTCAGGGATTAGCAGACATTGTATTTAGGACTTTAATACAGTGGCAAGTGAAAGAAAATTAAAAGGGTATTTTTATACGCTTGTGTTTTTGTAAAAAAAAAAAAAAAAACTAGTCATATGTGATCTTCAGGCACAGCTGAATCTAGTACTGAATAATACCCATTATCGGGAATATGTCCTTGCATCTTGTTCTATCGTATTCTGTATTGGCCTAACACTCTGCACAGAAAGCTGGTAGAAGCTGTGTTACTAGCACCACCAGCAGAAGTTGTCTGTTCATTTCCTGTATCCAAACAGAGCCTCTCTCCATGCTCAGATTTCATTTAGAAACTTCAGTTTTCAGGCTTCCTCTTTTTGACTCATATTTAGTCTTCTCTGAGCCCTCGAGGTCTCCACCTTGACATTTATCTCGCTGTAAATGCATCACCCCATTGTAGCAAGAGTCTTGCTAGTCAGTTGGGAAAGAATCCCCCACCCCAATATCTCATCTTTATCTGACCAAATTCTTCATCCTTCATACTTGTTACCTGATTATTCTAGCCTGCCTTCAACAAGAATCTTGTGAGATGCCTAACCTGTATCCTCTTTTATTCCTAATGTTTTCTTAGTCATTTTCCACCCACTGACTCCCAACCTGCCCCTTGGCTAGGAATCCCTACTTGTCCATGCTGTATTCAGAAGTGAACCCAGTTACAATGAGGTCTGTCTTCCCCACTGCAGTAGTTCCTGGGTAAAGTGTTCTTACGACTTTACTCTCTGGTTCTGGTTTTAACATTACCCACGTAGACAGACTCTTGGCCTCCCAACCTCAGTATCTTAACCTTTTTGTGCAAAGCTAGCAGGAAGGCAATGGGCAAAGGAGCCTTAAAAACAGGGCTTTTAGGAGTCGGGCCCTTTTGCAGAGCAAAGCAGAGGAAAGGAATGAATAGACTGGATTATACAGGAAAGAGAAACAGGCAAATGGCAAGCATGCTATATGAATACGGAAACCACAACTTTCACTTTCCTTCCTTGCATTCACAACACCTAACCTAGCATATAACGATAATGATCAGAACTAACGTGTTAGCTCTTACTATCTTCTACACACTTCATATGTAAGAACTCATTTAAATCTCACAATAACGCGATGAGAAATTCTTTTGGTCAACTCCATTGTATATTTTGCAACACAGCAAGTTAATTACCTAAGTTCATGTAGCTACTAGGTGATAGGACTAGGTTTCAAAGCAAAGCTGCTTAGATTCAGGTCCCTAACTCAATTCTACTTTATTGTATCAACAGTGGGCACTTAAATACACATGAAAGAGGGTGCCCCGTAAATACTCATTAAGGGTTTTGGAGAGGCTGGTGAAAAGGAAAATGGCAATAGCACTCTGAGCTAGAGGTCAAAATAACTATAAGACCCTGTTCCAAACTGTTTTTCCCTATAAATGACTTGTGATCTTACCACTGGTAATACCCTGTTTATAAAGCATTTTGAGATCTTTATGAATACTTGTGAATCTAGCAATATTATCCATAATGCATCTGTAGGTTGCATATTCTCCTGACCAAGATTAGCCAAGCCATCTTTGATTTCCACAGGCCAGATCAGATTCTGCGGTCTCCTTTCAGTCACTGACCACATGGATCTACTAAGCCAAGATTCTGTACCCCAGCAGTCCCCAGCCTTTTTGGCACCAGGGACCAGTGCTCATGGGAGACAATTTTCCACAGATGTGGGGTGTGCTGTGGGGGAGATAGTTTCGGGGTGAAACTTCCATTTCAATCATCAGGCATATAGAGTATCACAAGGAGCATGTGACCTAGATCCCTCTTATGCACAGTTCACAATAC